GGTCTCCATAGCAACCAAATCGGGTATAAATACAGCAGTCCACGGGCCAGTCTTCACTTCACGAGTTGACAGTCAGCGCTGCGGGTTTAAACCATTTGCCAGGCGCAAATAAAACAATAATCAATAGTAATCAAATTTGTATTTGTAAAAGAAAATAAAAACAAGGAATAAGGTCAGTCCCAATTGTGTACTCATTTGAAATATTAATAAGGTAATTTGAATTAGACAAGTAAGTAGGATAGAAATTAGAATAGGCCTACACACAAAGCATTTGTCAGGCCCCGGCAGACCGCTGGTGCTGCGGCTTTAACACTCAACACTCACGCACATTCGGTAGTTGTCTGGCACCTTTTTTAAAGAGTGCTGCGACCGAAATAACACTTACAAGTAGTGGCACTAACAATTTAACTCCATACAAAGCATTTGTCAGGCCCCGGCTGACCGCTGGTGCTGCGGCTTAACACTAAACTTTAAGAGTGCTGCGACCAAATAACACTTACACATAGTGGCTCTGTATAACTTAACATTATATCTCACATTTCACACATTCTGCAGTTAGGATAAAATCAGTCACGTGGCAAAGAACCCATCCCTGAGAAACTTTGATAAAAATACAAAATAAAATAAATACAATTAAATGAAATTCAGATTTAAGTCATTGAGACGTTACAAATTGGCGCCCAACTAGGTGGCTTGATTTTATCACGGTTATAGATTATTTTAATGCAGAGATATAATTTACGAAAATATATAACACCTACACTTAGAGCACAAGAAGCACACTTAAATATGAGCCGGCAATTAGACGAAATCAATATGGAAGAATTATTAAACCCTAATAATGACAATCCCGGAGATGACTTATACAGTATCGATAATCAAAATTTAGCGTCTGGCGACAATCTAAATCATAGTAACGTAACAAGTCCCAGTAGAACACAGCACACAAACATGGACCAAACAATAATTAGGCCTATATTACAGACACTTGAAGAGTTTAAAGAACAAGTATTGTCACAATTTAAACAAACTAAACAAGAAATAGAAAAAGTTCGGAAGGATCTGACCATCGAAATAAGACAAATCGAATCCAAATTTGATACAAAAATAACAGAATTAAGGGAAGAAGTACACAACCATATTGAGGAAAGAATCGCAATGATTCAAGAGAATCAGGAAAGAATCAATAAGGAATTTGAGGCAAAGTTAAAAGCTGGGAATAGTGGGAAACCAGTAGGCCTACATATCACATGTCCTAGCACCATAGCTAAAGACTTACCAAAATTCAATGGAAAATCAAAAAACCCAAATCAATTCCTTTCTAGGCTGAAAAACTATTATAACAGGGAAAATGAACGAAGGCTTTCACAGGATGAACAACCACTGAATTTAGAAGAAATCCTAGATATATGCTTGGAAGGAACTGCAGCACGATGGTGGGATCTAGTTAGGACTTCAGTACACGATATTGAAGACTTTGAAAAATATTTTATGAACAAATATTGGAATGAGGAGATTCAAGATGGAATTAAAACTAAATTAGACTTAGAAAAATACATACCAAGAAGGGGACTGACAAGAACAGAGTATTTCATCGACAGAGTAATACTGTTGCAAAATATGACACCAAAATTCACAGAGAGGGAAATAGTTCGTCGCCTTGTTCGACATTTTGACGAAACAATTCAACAGGCCTCCAGAGTGCAAAACATAGTTTCAATACATCAAATGGAGGAACTATTAAGTAGAGAAGATACGATAGAAATTAACGAATCTATACGGAACGAGGCAGAAAGGAATGTAGAACGAAGAAGTTCATACAGTCACAGACCATCAGGAAGAAACATGGATCAACGAGGTTCATTTAATCACAGGCCATCAGGGGACAGACACTATTTTGAAAAGAAAAATGAAAATAGGAGGGATCATTTCCAAAATAATTATGGAAATAGAAACAGCTATGATCACAATCAAAAACCAGGAGATAGTAACCGAGAAGAACCTAAACAAAAATATTTAAACTAGATAGCACTGGAAATAATGCAGGCCTAAGGGAAATTTTGACATCACCGGACAAGACACTTAAATTTTCAGTGCAAAATGAATTAGAAAATATTAGGCCTATAAATAATATTTATGTCGACAAAGAATTCTTACTAAATGACAACATCAATAATGTTGAAGAAACTAAACACATGTATCATGTACCAGAAATTGACATTAATTTTGAAAAAGTAAGTACAGTGTGTATATTAGACACTGGAAGCACTGTTACTTGTATGCAAAGGGAATGGTTTTTAAAAAATAAACACAATTTAGGAAAATATGAAGAATTTCCATTAACAAATACTATAATAACTACAGCAGTGAATCAGAAGTCCCAGCGAGTTAAGAGTATTATCTTAATAAATGCAAAAATAGGCTCAATAAGTACACAAATTCAATGTTTGATTATACCAAACTTGATTAAGGAAATAATAATTGGAATCGATACGATGAAAGAACTGAACATGGTTATAAATTTAAATAAAAACTATGCTACTATAGGAAAAGAAAACATCAAATTCAACAATAATTTCATTCAAAGCTTAAGATGCAATATATTACAAACAGGAGAATTCACTCAAAGTATGGATGAGAAGGAAGACAATCTATTAACTACAGAAAGAATTTCTGAAGAAATTAATAGAATTAGACATATAGCTGATAAAGAAAGGAAACAATTATCAGGCTTACTTTGGGAATTTAGAGACATATTTTCAGAAAGGTCTGGGAGATGCAATATGTATGAACACTCAATTGAAATAAAAGAGAATCAACCTTTTAAACAAATGAATTATCCGGTACCATTTAAGTACCAAGATGCAGTGAAAAGAGAGTTAAATAAAATGATTGAAGAGGACATTATTGAAAGGAGTAATAGCCCATTTATAAACCCAATTGTAGTAGTTGTAAAGAAGAATAATGAAATAAGAATATGTTTAGATGCAAGAAAAATAAACAGTATGATTATTCCAGACCATGAATGTAATAGAGGAGTAAATGAAATAATGGCAAAAGGAAGAAGCACAAGTTGGCTAACTACACTTGATCTTACTTCAAGTTTTTGGCAGGTACCACTGGCTAAAGAGTCTAGAAAATACACAGCATTTATGTTTCAAGGAAATGTTTACCAATTTAAAGTTACACCATTTGGATTAGCTACATCTTCAGCAGCTTTAGTGCGAGCACTAAGTTTGGTACTCGGAGATGAAGTTGAAGATTACACTATGGTCTACATTGATGACATATTATGCCACTCCGAAACATTTCAAGATCACCTTATTCATTTAAGAACTATATTTACTAAGTTTAGAAATGCTGGAATGACCATTAAGTTTAATAAATCACTATTCTGCAGAGAAGAAGTTCCATTTTTAGGATTTATTATTACCACTGAAGGAGTTAAAGCCGATCCCAGTAAGCTTGAAGTTATAGAAAACTTTCAAAGACCTCGTAACCCAAAACAATTAAAAGGATTCCTTGGAATGATAAACTATTATAGCAAGTTTGTTGGCCAATATTCAAAGACGATACAGCCACTATTAAAACTTACATCAAAAAAGAATAAGTTTATTTGGACCGATATAGAAGAACAAGCTTTCCTAAATACTAAAAGATTATTCCTGGATACATGTATACTCAAACACCCAGATCCAAACAAGGAATACATCCTACAAACAGACAGTTCAGATTATGCTGTTGGAGGCCACATCTACCAATATAACGACATTGGGGAGAAAAAAGCAATTATGTTTATGAGCAGAACTCTTAAAGGAAGTGAACTCAATTATTATACAAGTGAAAAGGAATTATTAGCAATAGTATTTTGTTTAGAGAAAGCAAGATATTTAGTTTTAGGAGCAAAGCTTAAAATTATCACCGACCATCAGGCGTTAACTTTTCTAAAAACATGTAAACTTTTAAATTCCCGTTTAACCAGGTGGATACTTGCAATACAAGAGTATGATTTCACTATAGAACACTGTAGTGGAAAGGAAAACATAGTGGCAGATACTTTGAGTAGACAGAAAACAAGCAGTGAGCATGAAATGAAAATAGATCCTGGGTTAGCAATTACAATAATCCAGAGACAAGTCAATATGGAGATGATTGAAGAGCTCAAAGATATAAAAACACACCAAAGGCATGATCAGAAACTACAAGAAATATATGATTCAAAAATATCAAACAGTGAAGGATATGATAAATATTTATTATATAATGAAGTGTTGTTTAAGAAACATAAAGATGAATGGAAAATAATTGTTCCTGAACACTTAGAAGAAAAACTGATATGGGAATGTCATTTATACCACTTGCACTGTGGAGCGAAGAAATGCTTACTGATACTTCAAGAAACTTTCATATTTAAAAATATGGGTAGAAAAATTAGGAAGTTATTATCCTCATGCGATTCCTGTCAAAAAGCCAAAACATCAAATTATACAAATCAAGGTGTTATAAAGGGTATAAAATGTAACAAGAAAGGAGATCAATTAGCCATAGACTTTTCTGGTCCTTTCCCCACAAGCATAGGTGGAGTAAAATATATTTTGGTTATTACTGACATTTTCACAAAGTTTGTGAAGTTATATCCAGTAAAAAGAGCAACAACCGACATTGCAATAAAAAAAGTATTTGGAGATTACATCCCTAGATATGGGACACCTCACAAGATACAATCTGATAATGGGACACAGTTTAATAGTAAAAAATGGGTTGAAACTCTACAGGATAATGGAATTACACCGATCTTTTCTGCAGTCAGAAGACCACAGAGTAATTTGGCTGAAAGAATAAATAAAGAAGTGAATAGATGCTTGAGAACATATTGTCATTCTAATCAAAGCAACTGGGCAAATCATATACCTATTATTAATGAATTTTTGAACGAAATAACTCATGAAACAACGGGTTTTACACCAAATGAATTACAACTGAATGAGCGAAACAAACGTTTTTGGTCAGATATTTTAAATATGCCTGAACTCAAAGATGTACCTTGGGAAATAAAGTGTGAAATAGCAAGAGATAGGATTTTGAAGAAACAAACAAATAGAGCAAACAAATTTAATAAAAAGATAAAACATACTAGTTTCAACGAAGGAGACAAAGTTCTGTTAAAAAATAATTTAACATCAAATGCCGGTTATGGTGAAACAGCTAAACTATTTAACATTTATGAAGGACCTTATGAAGTAGTAGAAAAAATTGGTGAAAATACTTACAGACTGTTCTGCGACTACACAGGGCATTTTAAAGGACCATATCACATAAATTTATTAAAGAAATATATCTATCCCACACATTTACATTGAAAAATAATTACCTGTTAAATTTTAATACAAACTAATTTTTTTTTTACATTTATTTTTAGATGTTCAAGATTAAAAGAAGTAGAAGAGCTGGGAAGCACCGAGACAGAGGAAGAAAGATGTGGGAGAAACATAATGACAGAAGTTTTGCCATGTTAGTGCATGAGGCTACAAAAGCATCAGAAGAAAGAATAGTTAAATGTGTTGACCCGAAGATTTACACTGAAGAAAGAGAAAAGGCAAGATTAGAACGACAAAATGTGATGAAGCAATTAGAAGAAAAGCATGAGGCTACAAAGGTGTCAGAAGAAACAATAGTAAAATGTGTTGGCCCGAAGATTTACACTGAAGAAAGAGAAAAGGCAAGATTGCAACGACAACATATGATGAAGCAATTAGAAGAAAATTTGGGGTGGAAGGTAGAATTTGAACAATTTGCAGAAATCATGGAAAATGAAGAAATTAAGACAGCCCAGAAAGTAGTGAACATGTTAGAAGAAGAACTCAGAAAAAAGAAAGAAGAACTAAAAAAAGGAGAAGAGAAAAAAATGAAAGAAGACAAGAAGAGAAAATTGGAAGAGGAAGAGATGAAAAGAAGGGAAAAGGAGAAGAAATTGGAAGAAGAGAAGAAAAGAATGGAAGTTGAAGAACAGAAGAGAAGGTTACAAGGAAAAATCACAGTGGAAAAGAAGAAGGAAGAACAAGAGAAGGCAGAAATGAAGAAAGGAGAAGAAGAAGGAAAGAGCAATTTAAAAAGGATAGATGATGAAGAACTAAGAATAATATTTGAAGAGATGATTCTCAATGTGAATCTAGTGCACTGGCTTGAGCCACAAATCAATGAGTATAAATTGATAAAAATAGATGAAGATGACGACGAAGACATTTTGGACTTAAGACCAAATTATATGGAAATAGAGGAGTAATTTTCAAAATAAAAAAAAAGGACTATGTACTGCTAATGTTTTGTATATATGTAAATATTTTTTTTATTTTTCAAATTAGGGGACAATGTAATGTTTCAATTTAACTTACCGGTAACCGTTTTAGGCTATGTTATGCCTAGGCTAGGTTAGGTTTTTTGTTAGATCAATTGTAATAAAAGTAGGCCTATCTCACATTTTTCATAGTTTAAATATTTCTTAATGTTCTTTAAATTACTAATGAAATAATGTTTCTAATAGTTTATTTTGTAAATAGTGGTAATAAAGAATATTTCTACCCACTTACCGTACCTAGGTTAGCTTACCCACTTACCGTATTTAGGTTAGGTTATCCATTGTAAATATTTCAGCAACACAATAACAGTTATGAATGTACATTACTATTTTATTTCACACTCAAAGGGATAAACATGTAAATATAACAACTAACTAAATAATTAAAACATATTTATTTATTACATTTGTTTCAATGTTTGTTTACTAGTTTACAATAGCTTCTCTGACAGCTCGAGCTCCAGCCGACAGCAGCTGATGGATCAAGAACGATCAAGTGGGCAGCGATGACGTCAGGCTGCCGGAAAAGGAAGATAACTTTTGGTGGAAACATCTGGGTTTAAAGTTCTAGAACATTCCATGGTCTCCATAGCAACCAAATCGGGTATAAATACAGCAGTCCACGGGCCAGTCTTCACTTCACGAGTTGACAGTCAGCGCTGCGGGTTTAAACCATTTGCCAGGCGCAAATAAAACAATAATCAATAGTAATCAAATTTGTATTTGTAAAAGAAAATAAAAACAAGGAATAAGGTCAGTCCCAATTGTGTACTCATTTGAAATATTAATAAGGTAATTTGAATTAGACAAGTAAGTAGGATAGAAATTAGAATAGGCCTACACACAAAGCATTTGTCAGGCCCCGGCAGACCGCTGGTGCTGCGGCTTTAACACTCAACACTCACGCACATTCGGTAGTTGTCTGGCACCTTTTTTAAAGAGTGCTGCGACCGAAATAACACTTACAAGTAGTGGCACTAACAATTTAACTCCATACAAAGCATTTGTCAGGCCCCGGCTGACCGCTGGTGCTGCGGCTTAACACTAAACAAGCACGCATATTTGGTAGTTGTCTGGCACCTTATTTTAAGAGTGCTGCGACCAAATAACACTTACACATAGTGGCTCTGTATAACTTAACATTATATCTCACATTTCACACATTCTGCAGTTAGGATAAAATCAGTCACGTGGCAAAGAACCCATCCCTGAGAAACTTTGATAAAAATACAAAATAAAATAAATACAATTAAATGAAATTCAGATTTAAGTCATTGAGACGTTACAAAACATTGGAGAAATTATGTATAAATGACGATTTATTTCTTAAAAATAAAGAAATAAATCGTATATAACTAACTCGTATAACTTTTTGAGCGGAGCGAGCGAAGCGAGCGAAGCTCTTATACTACACTCCTGCTTTTGTTTTACAAATACTCCTCCTGAACGGCTGAAGCGATCTGCACGAAATTGAACACAGTCATAGTAACCAACCATGGGAAGGTATAAATCTGAAATGGTACAAATCGGACCATAGGACTTTTCCCTACTTGAATGCAAACTTTTAGAAATTTAACATGGGCCTTATGGGTAAATTGGTCGCCATGGCATTATTTGCGAGTTAACACTAAAAAGTAAACAAGAGCCTCGACATATGTTAGTCAACAAATCTAACACATTATAAATACAGTACAAAAGAAAAAATCTTATGAATACTAAAGAGCATATTAGTCTATTGCATGTAATACGAATTGATTAACAATCAGTTCTATATTGAGTGATTAAAATCATGCCGTTTATATTTAATTATATAATCGTTCTGTTCTTTTTAACAACAATGAATAGTCAACTAATTCGGCCTAAGCCTATGTTGCGTCACAAAAAAACATACTCGGTTATAGTAGTATGTTTTCTGTGGTTGCGTGGAGAAGTATAGACAGGATATACAGGATATAAATAGGAATGCAGTCTACAAATAGGAATTCCATTAAGGTGAACCAAATATAAGATTCATAGTTTCGCTGCAATTAGACAATTTAATGACGTGAACCCGAAGTATCATTGACTTCGGATACTGCAATTAGGCGTTATTTTTTTGTGAACAAAATGAATGGACCATTGATTTAGGATACTGCAGGTAGACTTTTCATTTACATGTAACATTGAGTTTGGATACTACAAGTAAACAATCCATCTACGTGAACCGGACGTACCATTGACTTTAGAATCTGTAAATAGGCATTCCATTAATGCGAACCAAATATATAATTGGCATTGGATACTGCAAGTAGACATTTAATATATGAGAACCAGATGAAACATAGAATAGGGTTCATGCAAGTAGACAATTCATTCACTTAATCCTGACTTATGATTGACTTTGGATACCTACTGCCAATAGGCATTCTATTTAAAATGCGAACCATATATATCATTGATATTGAATTAATATGCTGGCTCCGCTCAATATTGCAAGCAGACAACTGCATTGTACACCTAGTTATATTTGTTTTTCGTCAATACCCTTTTGTAGCTGCAGTTAATAAAACAGCTGATACAGGCAATTTTTATTGTAATCTATGTATTTATAAAGGTGTATTAAAATGTTTTCTTTGCATCATCTAACATTTGTTCACATTGATAACCGTACATTATAAATACTTTTAAATAAGCTAAATAACTGATCTAATAAATTTAATGAAAAGTTCAATCTGAGCAAAGCTCGGTCTCCTGGTACTATAGGTAAAATATAATGTATAACCATTGAATAACTAATTCCAAACTAACTTGGCTACTAATAACAAAGTTGTGTATTGTTACTCACAGCTGACTATGTTTATTTGAATTAGATTGTAATCATTAGCGTTCTAAGCCATTAGTTCGGGTAAAGTTTGAGTTTATATGCAAAGTTATGAGCATAACTAATTATGATGGGCCATTTCTGTCATTTAAAAATTAAAGTATTCTAAAGCCCAGGATAAGCGGTTTGTAATTTTCTTGTCATTAAATATTTGACGAACCAATCTCGTTCATCATATGATTAATGCTTGACAGTGACACAAACGGACGAGCGAGTCATAAGCTAGACATTTAATGTTTCTGCAGAATTTATTGAAATCTATTACAAAAGCCCAACCTAATGTTGACGCCCAGTAATGATGGACGAGTTTAATTTGATTTGTAAATGCATTTAAATTGCATTTACTAATAGCTTTGGTGCCAGCCGTAATAGCTAATAATGGCAAATTTGTTTGAGTTGGTATATTATTTATTACTAAATAAGTCAGCTATAATGTATATGTGTATGTTTCAATCAAACAAAATTTATAAAATATAATTTATGAGGTCTGGAGTAAATTAAATAAGGCTTGGAGTAAAACTAATTTCTGTTTGGATAAAAGGTTTTATCCAAAATATATTAGAATATTCTTTGATTTAATGCGGATAAAAATCGAAAAATACAGTCATAATCCATTTTGTAACACGCATTTAAGGAGGGTTTGTGGTTACAAGCTATTTATATAAACACATTTATATAAAATAATTTTATAGCACATGCGCTTAACACTGTTGGCACTGGTATCATCAGATGTGTTAGCTATTGAATACTTGAGTAATTCAAAGGCTGGTCTTAGAAGATCGTGGTTTTATCTTGAAAAAGTCAATGTTTTTTTTTGTTTGGAAAATAAAAAAAGGTATATGCTGATAACTGGACTTTAATTAACATCGAGGAGAGTTAAACGTAAATTGCTCAATTTAATAGGGTCCCAAACTACTTATTTCCTGGGCAATATGAATCCAGTATAATACCCATTTACCATTTCAAGAATATGTTAGCTTAGAACGTTATTATTAGATGAATATGGTAGTCCCTTACAATAAATTTGTTGATTTTAGATCTACTCTATAAAGAGTGATTTACCTACCTGAATCAATCCACCTACCATAGTTGTCCAATAAATAGAATATAATACATTTTCATAAACTGTTTAGTATCTTGTGAACAATCTGACTATGGTGAAACATTAAACTAAAGGAGCTGTTAAACTACAATTTACTCAAATTTAACTGATGTAAAGAACGTTGGTCAGTATAACCATAGAAATATCTATATGTCTATGGTACAACTTAATCTTTGAAAATAGACTCTAGAAGTAAATTAAACGTGAGGGAGGTAAAGCCCAAAAATAAATATTTTTTTTAAATTTCTTTTCGCAAGTGCGGTAAATCATCAGCTTTAAAAACGACACCACAGACGTAAAGATTGGTTGTAGAACGGCTAACGGAAACTCCTTGTATTGAGTATAGATACAGATATATTCTAATTCTAGGTAAAGATATTATAGAAAAGACCTTTACGTATTATCTCACTCTATTCTAGACTAATGCTACTTTCATATCGAACTTAAAAACGCACCTATAGCTTTTTTCAATTTATTAACTAAGCTAACTATCTAATACAAACCTATTTGTTCTTAGCCCTGACCATATAGTAAGTTTTGCAATATTTACATGTTGATCTTACAATTAAAAACTAAATAAACCCACTCCTATAGAAATTTAAAATATTTGCGGTCAATGACAATATTGACACAGTAAACCAAGGTCGAATACTATTTACTGTTATGATACTGCTTTTGGTTAAAGATTAACAAGTAAAATGGTTTGAAACTTCATTTTCAAGAACGTTTTGGTTTTGGTTTTGGTCGCTAAGGATTGAGCATGGTTCCTACTTTATGATAAAATCATGAATCATAGAAACCCATTTTACCTACTAATTTGCAATTATAGAAGAGAAGCCGCACAAGCTGTATTATGTTGTGTTGCATACTAAAAAAATAAACACATGACACAAGTCTTCCAATGTGGGTTATGGCTTGAAAGGTTATCATGCACCTTGAATCCCAAACGTTTAAACCTTACAAATT